CGAGTTCAAGAATGGACAATTAATTTATTCTAATGTTGATCAAGAATTAAAATAGTGAAATGAGAATGCAAGCAAAAAGTATACAATAACCCTTCTCACACAAGGAACAAATTCACATTAAACCATCATTCATATTTACAACCCTAGGACAAGGGATTTTATCTACTCATAACACAAAATTATAACAAAAATGTAATAGAATCATACAAGTCTTTACCAATATGAGGAAGGAGAAAAAAACACTATAAAAATTTTTTATTTTCCTTAGCTCCCTTAAAATTTTTGCAAAGTGTAATGTGCAATAAGTGACACATAAACTATATATAGTCCAAAACAGGCACGTAGGATGATTTTCGTGTCCAGGTCTGCGACACCGATATGCTACCTTGCTCAATTCTTCTCATGAGTGAATGACCCTCGCGATGCTACTCTACCGCGGATTCCGCTGTTATGGTGAGTTACTTTTCTGCATAGGTGAATTGCCTCCGTGAAGCACCCACATTGCGAACTCCCCTATTATGGCGAGATCCTTCACTGCTTGGGGGGAATGCCTCCACGACGTGGGGGTGCTTCTTGCCAGTGCAATATTCAGCTTTTTGGTTCTCTTTTTTTGCCACTTCTTATTCTTCTTTTCCACCTTTGATCCGGTGTCAAAATTTAGCTCCTTTTCCAATGATTTTTGGCCTGAAACATCTAATTATATTGGTTAGATGATGCGTAATCAAAAAGACTCTAAATACTTGACTTAACTACCGAAAATGTCCTCACTCAACTATATATATAGGATAATAATGGTTGTTAGGCATCTAAATACGTCTAAGATCACCACCCTACCACTCATAATTTTGTGCGTCCTCGAACGTTTTCGCACTTATAGACATTCTACGACTCTACTTCTACACCTACAAGCCTTTCAACTTTGGCCACAACAACTGATGACAATATAGCATTACTTGGCGTTCCTAAAGTTCGCCCTAGGAAGACATCTAACCTCAAGAATAGAGTCCTTTTTAGAGCAGATTTGTGTGCAACCACTGACCCACATATGTATCAACTTCCAAATTTCATCAAACATGTGCCCTCACTACAATTGAACACCCATATTCACTTCATATTTATATTTTATCAAAAAATGGGTGCCGGAAACAATTTACGCTAACACTCACAAAAAAATTCACTTGCCACGACCAACGAACCATAGTCTTTCCCTTACTATACTGATTCACTACTTTTGAAGATTAGTAATTTTGAGATTAATTAGGACTTTTAAGGGTTTAATGCAGGCTAGGGGACAAGTAGGAAACATTTCAGGAATAAGAGTAGTGACTATTTTCCCAAGCTTTTTAGAGAAAACTTTGCAATTTCGAATGCTCGTCTAATAACCCCATCTTATGCTCTTTTCCTTGGAAACATTTGGTCCCTTTTACAAGTTCACCTATTTGAACCCTTCTCTTTATCAAATCAACCATTTGGCCCCCACTATTTTTTTCATAGACAACAATATATGTCTAAAGCTTTTCATATATGTTCCTTATTTTTTTTTATTTTATTAATTACATTTTTAACACAATTCAGAACTACTATTAGGCTACACAATTAACTTCCGATTCCTTCTTTATTGTTTGCATAAAATGCTTAGGATATTTTGGATCAAAGTAAAAGGCCAAAGAATAAACGTTATAAGATTCACAGTAGGTTAACAAAGAAGTATTTCTAGGCTCGAGGGGACTTACTAGGGGTATATGTTAAGGTGGGTAGAGGAAAGTATAAACAGGGCTACCAAAAGATGCCTATATCACTTCTCAAATTCCTTACCTCATTCTTTTCGTTAGCAAACGCACAGGGAAAGTTCTAGACCATAATCAATAGAAGGGAATACACAATCTCTACACACTTTATTTCAAGCCTAACTGCAATAGGAATCATATAAATGAGCCTAGATGTCTCAACACAGAGTTTAACCATTTTGCAATTGTTAGTCTATTCCACCGCAATTGTTTCACCTCAGCCAAAAAGCAAAAACCCTAAAGACTCAATTGATGAAACAACCCTTAAGACGTCATCCTCCATCTATCATCAAGAGGCTTGACTCAACTATAACACCGACTCGATCCTAATAAATTATATATATATATATATGTTTCAATGAAACTATCCTTGGCTAAAGAACTGAAAACAAGTACGAAGGAACCCAAACAAAAACAACACACACAACACAAAAAAGCAACTAGAGAAACAAAATAAAAGCTATGTAGAAAGATCTAACTCCACCTCACACTTAGACTTTGGCACTGTCCCCAGTGAAACAAGTTTCAACAAGAAACAGAAAACAAGGTAAGGTGGGCTTCCCTAATGAGACATTCATATAAGCGTCACCACCAGCATTCTCGAGGAATATCAAGTCTCCCTCCTTAGCATCCGAATCGGATTTCTATCTCGACAATTCTCCTCTTCTCTTCATTTGTTGGGACATCATCCTACTATGGCTCAAAAAATGCAGGCCCCAGTCCTAGCGTAGCCATCCCATGTTCATTCGGAGAAATTTTGCTGCAAACTCATCCAACTGCTCCTCAGAGGAAGCTCGACCTCCATTTTTATGACACAACATCTCCAGATCGTACATACGCGTTATGATCACATCATCCCTTCTATTGCACTCGGTTCTGGTACATTTGGTTCCATGCATTGTTTCTGACTCTTTTGTCTTTGTGACATAGAGGGATGTGGTGAAAAGGGCACAATTTAGTGTTTAGTCCACCAAAAGTTAACCTTCTTCCTAGGTGGACTCTTTCCTTGCACATTGTTGATTTAAGCACTGATCCTATTTTGATAGGTAGCCCTGTCATCAGTGCATACACTAAGCAGACTCGGGCCCGTGTTACCTTAGTGTAGTGCATCCCCGATATCGAACAACTCATAACAATTTTCAACTACACCAGAGCCTCTCTATTTATGTGCATATAAGGGTAAGATTTATGATAGCCATGATGCCCATGCTAAATCCATTTAGCTGTGGATTGAGCCCCACAGAAAGTATGCCAAATTGCTTTATATAAGGGGTTGATGTTGATCCCCGTGAAAACATTGGAAGGTCCATCAATGGTCCTTAAAAGTTTGTTCAGCACTGTCGGGGTCAAAGGAACTTCCACGCCCCTAATTGTAACATAGTGAGAACGGGCATCCTTCTTCCAGTTTGCATAAAATTCTCGCACAACGCTGACATTGCACTCAGAAGGCTCTTGAAAGATGAATGTAGCTCGAGCAGACAATGCTTAATGTCAGGAAAGTATCTCTCCAGATTTTCATCCTCAAGTACCACATCGGAGAAATATTTGGTCTCCGTGTGGGACTTGTACCACTTTGTACCTACTGGAATGAGTACTTTTGCTCCAAACCATTGAGTTTGTCCCCTTAGGACTGAAGGTGTAGGGGGGATCTTGGTGCCAGTCCTAGATCTCTTGCGGCTTCTAGACGTCACCCCCTCTCCTGACCTTTGTGAACTCAACATGGCAACCTGCAAATAGACATACTACCAATCAATCACGGGGATTCAATGAGGGAAGGGCACCCCACTATCATGCTTGCGCAAGATTTTATTACAACAAGGTACTAGGACCTCCCCAATTGTTCATAGCATACGAATCCCAACATTCTCCCCTATTCAAATATCTAAACCCAAACCCTAGTGTGTTTACTCAAGAATGCGAACCACACTTTAATAAACTAGTTAAGAACTTCCATCAGCCGCTTTATTAACACGCACGAAGTTTAAATACCTCATTTGCAAACGCACAAGATTCAAAATTGTATGATGACATCCTTTAAAATGAGTAATCTAGAATTCCACACATGTTATCACACATTTAAGTTCGTAATCTTCAAGCATTAAATGTATTAATCCCATTCTAAAAAAAGCACTCAAACACATCCCTATCACAAACAAAAATACAAAACATCACGAATTTTCTTCAATTTTACAAACAAAGAAAAAAAGAGCAAGGAAATACCCTAAATAGTAAAAAGAAGAAAGAATTAAAGAACTTTGAAGAAAGTTCTTCAATCTATGTGAGACGGACTTTATTTATAGAACGGGAAGGGTTTCTTTGGGGAGAAAACTGCTAGGTCGGTGAAAAAACAGTGTGAAACCATCAATTTTAGGGTTTAAAAAGGGATGGGGGTCGGGTTTTTTCCAATTAGTCGGGTAAAACCCACCTTTTTAATTAACCAATTTCAAAAATATACCAGGTCCGAGATGCTGAGACGTCACGGACAAGCCTTGCAAAATTCCTTTTTGACGCTCGGAAAAAGTTTTGAAGTGGGAGATCAAGTCCGTGACGTGCTTAGGTCGCGGATTCCCATGGACACTTCTTCGGATAAATTAATTTCTCAGAAATTGGTTTACGAAGCAGAGCTTTCCCGGACCTTCCTTGGGACTTTTTGTCCTTGAGAGTCTGGTCACCTCCACTTGGGGAGGCATGTCCGTGACGCGCTTAGGTCATGTACTCCAATGTTTACCCCTCGCCAATTTCTTTTTTTCACTTGAACTTGCAGGAAGACGTCCACGACGCGGTGACTTCGCAGACTCACATGTTCTCCATTGGTTCCTACAAATGTAAATACACACAAATCCAAAATAATCCCTAATTAAATGTACATTAAGTTACCCTATTAAAAGAAAATACAATGCAAAAAGCTTCAAAAACACCCCGCCTCGAGTTACCTCCCGAGTAACACCTGATTTGACATAGCGGTACGACTCACCTTCCCTCATTCATTGCTTAACTTTAGAGTTTCGACTTCTAAATTAAACTCTTGCCCAAAATTCATAATTTTCCATTCATAAAGAACATGGATTTCTTCTCTTCAATACATAACTCCACAGTGTCATGGTCGGTCATATGTACCACCTCAAATAGTCCACTTAATTTCGACTTTAACTTGCCTGGAAACAACCTTAACCGGAAGTTGAACAACAATACCATTTGCCTAGGCTCGATAAGTTAAGCCACAATGTGCTTGTCATGCCATTGTTTTGTTTTCTCCTTGTAGAGTTTTGCATTTTCATAGGCATAGAGCCGGAATTCTTCAAACTCATGTAGCTGATCCATCCGTTTCTTGCCGACTAATTTGGGATCAAGGTTCAACTTGTTCACTTCCCAATAAGCCTGATGCTCTAGTTCAACTTGGAGGTGACACGCTTTACCAAACACTAAGTGATAGGGAGATGTACCGATTGGTGTTTTGTACGTTGTCATATAAGCCCATAGTGCATCATCAAGTTTCACTACCCAATCATTCCATTGTGAATTCAACATTTTTTTGTAGAATCTTCTTTACCTCTCGATTGTACACCTCTATCTGACCACTGGTTTGAGGATAGTGTGTCATCCACCTTGTGCTTGACTCCATAGTTATCTAAATTGTTCTTCACCAATTGATTTATGAAGTGTGTCCCTCCATCACTAATTATTGCTCTCGGAGTTCCAGAAGGAGTGAAGATATGTGTCTTGAGGAACTTCAACACAACCTTGGCCTCATTCATCGCTAATGGCACTGCCTCAACCCAGTTTTACACATAATCCATCGCTGCAGGTATATACTAATTTTCATTTATGGTGGGAATAAACCCTTAAAGTTGATTCCCCAAACGTCAAATATTTCAACCCAGAATGTTATGCAAAGGCATCTCATATCGCCTAGAAGTAGATCCCATCCTTTGGCATTGATCACTACTTTTAATATAACATGCAATATCTCTAAACAGGGTAGGCTAGAAAAACCCTGATTGAAGCATCTTATATATGGTGTGCTCACCACCATGATGACCTCTATATACAGACGAGTGGCAACTATCCATCACTTGTTTCATCTTTGAATCAGGCATACATCTTCTCATTATTTTGTCCGACCTTTGCTTTAATAAATATGGCTCATCCCAAATGTAAAATCAAGCATCATGGGTGAGCTCTTCCCTTAGATGCGAGGTTGCACCTGGTTGAAACAAACCGCTAACCAAATAATTCAAGATGTCAGCATACCATGGTAGCTCAGTTAACTATAGTGCCAATAGTTGATCATCAGGGAATTCCTCCCTTATATTCATTTTATCTCATTCATGAACTTCCAACATGGACAACTAGTCTGCAATCCGGTTTCCAGAAGCTCTTCGATCTTTAATCTCGATGTGAAATCCACCTGATCTATCAGGTTTTTTCATCTCCCTTGTTGAATAAGTACCTGATATAGTTGCATGGTAATAATAAACAACTTTGATACCTACCAGGTAAGATATGAAATTTTCAAACGCACCAGTGCTAGCATTTCTTTTAGATTCACAATGTAATTGGCTTGGACTACATCTAGTGTTTTGCTTGCATAGTATATTGAGTGAAACACCTTCTTTTTTCTCTATCCTAGCACCTTTCCTACCGCCATATAACTACATCACACATCAACTCAAAAGGGAGCTCCTAATATTGAGATGTAAAAAGTGGGGCTTCTATGAGCTAGTTTTTCAATTCTGCGAAAGCTTGCATTCACTTTTCATCGAATACAAATTTCACCCCCTTCTCCAAAAGAATGCACATAGTTCTAGCAATCTTGGAAAAATCTTTGATAAATCTCCTGTAGAACCCAGAATGACAAAGAAAACTCCGCACCCCTTTTACATAATTGGGAGGGGGAAGCTTTTCAATAACTTCCCCTATAGCACGATTGACTTCCATCCCTCGCTTTGACACCGTATGCCCCAACACAATCCTAAGGTTGTAACATAAATTGAATCTTGGTTCAATGTGTTTCTATTTCGAGGTTCAAAAGGATAACTTATTGCGGGTTGGCAAGGTTCATTTTACGATCATAGTCTTCCAACCTCTAATATCCTACCATTATTGACAACCTAAATACATTGTCGAATAGGGTTAGGTATAAACCAATAAAAGTGAACTATATATTTTTCTTGCATGTCAATCAAATGTGTTCAATAGGTATAAAATTATTATACATACATAACAATCAAGAACTTACTCTAGAATGAACACACAACTTACATTCTTTAGTTTATCCCTCTATTCATCTTCCAAATTCAAGAATGGACACTAAATTTATTGTAATGTTGACGAAGCTTTAAAATAGTGCAATGAGAATGCAAGCACAAAGTATATCATAACCCTTCTCACACAAGGAACAAATTCACATTACCCCATCATTCATAGATACAACCCTAGGACAAGGTATTTTAGTTATCATAACACTAAACGACCCCTGCGGCGTGACTCTATCGTGGACTCCCCTTTTATGGGAAGTTCCTTTTATGCATAGGTGAACTTCCTCCTCGACGTGCCCACTTTGAAAACTCCCATATTATAGGGAGCTCCTTCACTGCTTGGGGGTAATGCTTACGTGGCGTGAGGGTGCTTCTTGCAATTGCAATTTTCATCTTCTTGGTTATTCTTTTTTGCTACTTTTTATTTTGCTTTCCCACCTTTGATCCGGTGTCCAAACTTAGATCCTTTTCCAATGATCTTCACCCTGAAACATCTAATCATATTGGTTAGAAGATGCGGAATCAAAACAACTCTAAATACTTGAATATACCACCAAAAATGTCCTCACTCGGCTATATATATGGGATAAAATTGGTTGGTAGGCATAATAATGTGCCTATGATTAGAAAGTATGTCTATTCTCCTCAAAATATGAGGAATCACCACTAAGGCTGCTGAATGCGAACCAAGAACCGACTTATGCATGATGTGGATGTTGAGTACCTAAACCTACACCAGGAAAGGATTTAAAGCAGAGTATATGTCAGTACTTGGAACGTACCGAACATGAAGAATATAGATTATAACTGAAGAAACATACAAGTCGAACAAAGTATAACTGAGCAAATATATAATCTTAATGTGATGTAGATGTTTGAATTGTAAATGGAAATGAGAAAAATACAATGAGAAAGTACTAATCATGAACATGAAATGCTAAGGCTGAAATATAAACTAAAAACTTAGTCAAATGCACTCGAGTATAACTGTGGGAGATACTATTAACCAACATAAAGCACATGAGCTAAATAGAAAGTCTTATGTATACACCCTATCGAGAGGATCCAATATACATTGCCACGTATATAAAGGCATGACTATCTTCATCACTAGATATGATGCCCATAAAGGATACTTGTACTCCTATGGGGGCATGTATTTTTGGAACTATGAGGATATGTTGAACGTTAATCCAACTCAGTGCTAAGCCTACTCCCAACTGAAATGTATATGACACAACATAACTAAAATGCTTGATAGCTCAATATTCTGACGTTCAAATATGATAATGCATTATTTGAGTACTGGCAATGAAACATTTGAAAACTGAAGCATGTTTATCTATTGAACTAACCTAGCAAGTGAAAATAAAAAAGTAAGAGAATCTACACAACTAGGGTTATGAGTTTCATACAAATAAATAAGCAAACTTTCCAAGTATCATGCTATTTTGATTCAGGATTCTACAATAACTAAATCAAAACAATATCAAAGTTTTTAGAAACCCTATATCTAAGTAAGATATAAACAATCAAGAATCTGACTGAATTCTATGAGCCTAATAAATGAAAGGAACCCACTAGTGAAATACCTTATTCTTGGTGACAAAATCTATGGTGAACTCCTTTGGTACTTTGGTCTGAAACTTGAGGAGAACTTGTTGGTTGATCTTGGGGAAATTGGCGCCTCTTTCTTCTTCTTTTTCTAAGTTCAATGAACGATTAGAGAATAGAGGTTTCGGCAAGTTCTAACTAGAGTACTAGGCTTAAACTAAATAAAACAATGTAGTTTGAGTGTAAAATGACATAGTTTAAATGTCCAATAAATAGGAGAAAAAACCAAAATGACCTAGCTTAAAAGCTGACAAGGCAGAGAATGTGCCATTAACGGACCGTCAAATGAACCACGGTCCATCGTATGAGTTATGGTTGCTAGCCTGAGCTACAAGTTTATGGAACCCCACCAACGGTCTACTTCACAGATCGTGTGAAGGATTACGGATCATGAATGCCCTCGTGGTTCTTCACTTAGGGATTGGTGTCTAATGTCTTAGGGCTATAGTCCTTCCCATGCTCCATCATCAATACCACAACCCGTAAAAGGTTCCATGGTATTATTCCTGAGCTCGGGAGGTTCTTCCTTCTTCCACGAGACTTTCCACAAATCGTGTGGTAGTCCACGGCCCATGAAGGGCTCCATGATCCGCCACGTCTTTGTTGGATCTAAACCACGAGTAGGTAGACGGTCCATACTTCCTTTCATGGTCCGTGAACCTCCTCCGTGGTTCACCACTCTTTTTACTGGTTAGTTCTACTAAGTCTGAGGTGTTACACACACACATGCGCGCGCCCACACACACACACACACACACGCACACACACACATATATATATACATATACATATATATATATATATATATATAATGAAATTTAAATATTTTGTGCATGTATAATGAATCGTAACTATATGCATATGTATAAATATTTTTATTTGTATATGTATATGTATATGTATAATATTGGAAGTTAAAAAAAGTATATGGCACATATAAGTATATGTATAAATTGATGGACTTACATGTGTATTATTGAAATAGAAAGTTCAAATATATGTATGTTTGCAATGAATAGTAAATACAAATTTTACACTATAAATTTAGTAAAGATGGTTGATAAAATATACTGGATTATTATCATTGCAAAACATGTTTTTCATCGTAATCGAATCGAGGCTTATACTTCTTGATCTTCCAGCAATTTTTGAATCAACCTCTAAACAACATTTATAAAAGCAAACTTGCATAGCGATGGAAACTATGAATCATATAATACTTCCCTCTTGGTTTCATCATCTTGTGGACATATTTGTCTAGTTCTTCAAAAGCTTGATTGTCCTATATATATAATATACCCAATTAACTAAATCAAAGTCTATTCTATCTATTTTGTTTGTACAACTACCTTTTTACTCCCTCAATATAAAGTACTTTAAAAATTGGGCTTAAACATGACATTGATTCATGATAGGTAGTAGACCAAAGTAAGTTATGTTGTAAAAAGGCTTCAACTGAATTTTGGATATTCTTTGCTAAATCAATCATTATGTCGATATTCGTATAACACTATACGTGGGGGGGGGGTATTTTTATTCTTGTTTGAGTAGAAATTTATTATCCTAAAAAATATGTCCATAAATTAATTAACCTGGGTAATTATGATATTCATACAAATAACACATAGTATACAATATTTATATTTTAATATGGGCAATTCTTATTGATGAATAATTGTATTTGTATTCGTGTATGAATTGTCTATGATTATTGTATCATATAACTGATTCACATAAGATATAGTGGGTGATAATATGTAGGAGAAATAATACACAAAAAATTTAAAATATATATACAAATATAGATATATACACCAATACGTACAGGTACAAAAATAGAAAATCTACAATTTGATACATACAAAATAGGGTTAATACAAATA